GGGTTAGAAAATATGCATTCACTATAAATTAAGATGTAAAAATTCCAACTATTACAGGGAGTTCAAGACATCAAATTAAAATCATTGAAGAGCTATCTATATCCTATCCTGCCATGGACGAAAAAACACTTTTCGACCATCATTGATGCTCGATCGAGGATGTATCTTGTTTAACTAATGACAGAATTAAGATTCAGATCGACATACATGAACAGCATGACCATCATATATACACACTCATGAAACATGAACAAAGATCAATTTTTAGTTTTTCTTTCCCTGGTTTTGCTAATATGTGCTAATGTGTTCGTGTTGTGTTTTCTATTTCAAGCAAAGTCAAATTCTATAAGACATTCATTCAACTTTCCTGATTCATGGTCTAATTCTTCCTCCGCAGTAACCAAGCTTGCAATGGAGCTCAAGTTTTGGAATGCCTAGCTTTACGACCCCATTGTTATGGCTAATGGCTTTTCACTTTCACGAGACGCTCCCGAGCTGTTTGATGATGAATTGCTTTGCCTTTGATTGCCGTCCTCCTTATTAGCCTGACACCCTGCATCACTTTGAGGGGATTCATTATGAGTATTATTATCGGCATTTTCGTTATTTGTTGCCGCTGCATCTTCGTTCACAACTAAGCCAAGAGAGACTCTAAAACCACATGCACGTGAGATGATTCTATACAAGAAAGTTAAGAACCAAAAGAACCAAGGGAGGCAGACCAACGACAAGCCTGCGACCGGTAGCCATGCGGTGTTTTCGGTCTCAGGTAGGGTAATATACATCAAAAGGCATCCGCCGCCGCTGAGAACAGAGAGGAAGAGAATGAAAGTAACGATCCATATTAATACACGTCCAATTGATGGATCGACCAAAGACATTTGGTTTTAGACCTATCAATGGATCAAAAGAGGGATGAAAGTTTCAAAGCCTGAGTTAGAAAGATGATCTTCTTCGTGTGACCATCTTCCATCTTCCTCATTTAGACACGTTACGAATCAAAAGGTCGTGATAGAGTTGAACCGAAGGCGATCGAGATTGTTTTGTGATCAAACGTGAACCGAAAAGTTTGAAGAAGTGAGAGGGAGGATGATCATGAGGGGTCTTGCACGTAAAGGATTGGTTTGAAAACTTTGTGGAGAGATCCTCATGAGTTTCTGTTTGGAGGAACAATATCTACAAAAATTTTGGTCATGTTTTTTTCTAATGGTGTTACGCAATTTCAGCTCTCTCAAAATTAGCCAATTTTTTTCTTTTTTTTCTTTTTCTTTTTTAATTTTTTTTAATTTTTATAAATTTTAATTACTTCAAAATTTTCTTTATAATATACTAATCACGGCTTTAATAATATACCTAATTTTAAATTCCAACGAACATCTAAAAAAAACCTAAAATGGTTACGACACATATGATCAACTATCTCATGTCTTCCATAACAGACGCAGCGTAAACTTTATAGGGTTTCCGTTTCTTTATTTGAATAAAAATGGATAAGTTGAGTATTTAAAACACCCTATAATTAACCCGCTTTTGGAGCTAGGAGATGAAAATATATACACAATGTCTATTACTATCCGACTCGTGGGACCTAAAACCTAATTTCACTTTATTTTCAAGGTAAAATTGGATGTGCATTTATTTCATTATACATGGTCTATGTACATGGACACAGACCCATTAAGTGAGTATCGAACTTTCCTAGGTCCGATTATGGGCATGCGTGAACCAACCAACAAAAAAAAAATTGGACGCATAATAAAGAATCATAATTTTATGCATACACATAATACACGACAATCTATGTTGAAATTGAACACATAATATGCATGAGATCTCACAATGTAAGAGAAAATAGTTGTTCAGTGATATGGTAGAATATAGCATGTATCATGCATAATCATAACTCGTAAAATCATAACTCGTAACTTATGTGACTGACATTCATATCATCTATTATTTTTGTATACATGACGATGATTCTTAAATATCTATGATTAATTATCATAGTGGCATATCTTAATTACATAACATCCAACAAACTCATCATGATAACACATGTTAGTTATAGGACATACCATGTATCCAACCAAACTCAAAGAGTAGGATAAACACAACTTGAAATGTAGTAACCTACTAGATCGAGTTGTAAAATGCCAAACTGTAATGCACGAAACTGTAATGAATATTCTTACAACGAACAAGACATAGGAGTGACTTGCCGCAAACAAAATGCAACTACGACTTACAATGAACTGAATGTAGTTGTGACTTGCATAAAATTAAATCAATCATGACTTGCGGCCGATCCAAGATGAGAAATTTAAGATAGGTAACTCCATCTTGGTCTCTGTAGTGTCAACATTCCTTGTTCTCTGATTAACTTCTCGAGGATACGAAAGCCCAGTTTCCGCTTTCTTTAGTGAATACCGCTACATGGGCTTCCCGCATCCATCTTCAAGTGAACGTTTGTCTGCTTTATTCCTCCCGCTCACCGCCCTTCCATGCTTCATGGGTGATTTTTCTTATATCATCCGACCTTCCCCGTCTACTTTTGTTCATCTTCTTCGTAAGAAAATTTAATTCCCCAATTTCTTTTACTTCTCTCTCCTGTCCTTGGAACATCATCATCTTGTTAAATACTCCTCCCTTTTTTCAACCTTCTTTTTAGGTCTTCTTTGGTTGAGATGACAAGTTTGATATCCCATTTTTCTTACTCTCTGGTGACCTTTCTCTAGGTCTCCTTGGTTGAGATGATAAGTCCGATGAAATAAACCGACTTGTACGTTGCTTTTTGCTGACTTAAGTAGCCTATGGTTTCTTCTTGGCTTTGTTCTTTGGTTCCTTTTTCTCTCGACCTACCAATTTCTTCTTCCCTTTTTTGCTCCCAACGCCAATAGATACTTTTGGAAGATATTGATGGTCGTTGCAATAGTACTTTATACATGGGGTTTTGCAACTGTTTTACTTTTATCAACAGGGATCTATTTTTGTCAAATATCTTGTGGAACGAGCCGACTAACTCCACTCTACTACATTCTTGTGTCATTTGACTAAAACTAATAATATTTCTCTTCAAACTTGAGATGTAATATATCTTGGTCAATAGACGTTGATCGTCGTTCTTACACTGGAGCAAGATGGATCATTTGTCTTGGATTGGTACAATTTATCCTTTTCAATGCTTCACGTTTCCAATGAACTTCTCATCAAGCTCCTTGAACTTTGCTCGATTTCCGATTATGTTGGTCTTCATTTGGTCTTTTTTGTATGCAAAGAGGTTCGCCATAACCTTCTCTTCATTGAGCCTCAATGGGTTGGACATTTCTTTTTTGGCCGAATCAATGCAGGCTCTTCATCATTTGTAATGTGAGGTTTACCTCCTCATCCCGCTCCTTGTTGCGGCACTCTACCGCATGTTGCCCATATTTTTCCACAAACGTAGCACTTGATCATGCTCTTATCCTTCCAAGGGTTGGCATTATCAGGGGTTTGTGAAGTATTGTCACGATCTTCTTTGTTGCGACGTTCGTGGCCACGCCCACGCCCACGACCTCTACTTTCATTGTTGTGGCTGTCATATCCTTTTGTACCTGAAAATGAAGAATCAACCGCATCTTTCCTTTTCAACTGTGCAAGCCATTCCTTGTGTGAGTAAGAGATGTTTCTTCTCCTCCCTGTCGTTGTACCAACGAAGTCTCTACTCATGGACTTTAAGAAGACCAACAACCTCATCAACCAATATGTTATTGAGGTCGCCAAACTACTTAATAGAGGTAACCATATGTATGAATCTCAGGAGAATAGCTCAAAAGAACTTCTTGACGACATAGATCTCCTCCGGTTTGTCGCCTATGGAATGGATGCCGCTAATGATTATCGTCAACTTCATACCAAAGTCGTCTATTGACTCACCGTCCTTCATGCGGTTAGCCTCAAACTCACTGTTCAAGGTCTGCACCTTTGCTTCCTTGACACATTCCGTATCCACATGCATTATTTGCAGCATCTCTCACGCTACGTGTCCTTCCCTGCCAACATGAGAAGGAAGTCCTCTGAGACTACTTGAAAGATGACAGAAAGAGTCATCCTATCCTTACGCTCCTCAACGTCATTACCATGCTCGATAGCATCCCACACGCATTGTGACGGTAAGTTAACACACATCTTTATCAACCATGTTGCATAATTACTCTTCGTGAGTAATGGATACTGAAGCATTACACTCTCCTCTTTTTCGCTCTTTATCATTGTCATATCTCCCTCGGTGACTTTGTAAGGTGACCGCATTTGTTTTGGCATCCTAGCTCTAATATCCAATGTTGGATAGGACCCACGATCAGAATATGTCAAAACAAATAAATGAAGGAACAACTTGAGTGGAGAGAGTCTTAAAACAGAAGAACCTTAAGCTCTATGCTTTTCAATTTTCTTCTGTGAATAGAGTATACATCTACTGAGTACTTGCATAGAAGAAAGCACCAACAAAATCACAAACTATTTTTTCACAAACTATTTTTCTAAAGTTAAGTTACTCAAATTATAACTATTTGTCTAAAGTTACTCAAATTAATAACTATTTTTATCCGGTCAAAACTTATCTAGATATATTAAATATAAAGGAGAATATAGAATTAATTTGGAGTGTTGAACCTAACATTTAATATATTGAATATATTAAATACAAAATAAATATATATTTAATTTAAAGGGTTAGATATTAATATTTAGTACCTTCGATATATTAAAATAAAAAATATATCATATATTAAAAGGATTCCCATTAATATTCTGTACATTAGATATATTAAACGTAGATTGTTTCTAAGTTTGTATCGATCCTCGTTTTATAGATAACTTACCGACTTATAATTTATTTTAATTTTTGTTTTAAAGGAAATTGATAATTATTTTATTATCATTCTCATATTTGATTGAACTTGGAAAAAACGAATCATTGCATGTTCCTCAACAAATAGAAGAGGCCAACAATTGGACAACAGTATCCTCAACAAATGGGCTGCCTTTTTGGACTAAATAGCAAATACAGCACATGAACTTTTCAAAGTAGATCACAATAAATTCACCAATAAGCAGTAGATGTCTTTCACATCATCTCCTTTAATTCAATTTCAACGACTATGAACATTAAAAACAAAGGCCTTTCAAAATATGGCATCCTTACCGAGTCAAGGAGGGGGCTTTCGGCTTTCTCCTTGGACAACCTCTCTACCAAGACTCAGATTCAGAAATCCCACCAAAAAAACAAAAAGAGCGGTTTTCGGGGGCACATCGACACGGTAGTTTCTTGTACAAAGAACAGTGGAAGACGTTCTAAACTTTGGCTGAAAATTCTATTGGATTTGTTTGATTGATACTAACCAGTTACTAGTTGAAGCTTGAAGAGCGGCTGCATCTACCTTGCAAGTAGTCCTCTATGGAAATGCTTTGTATTCCACTGCTAACAGAAAGTGAGTCATCTTCCAAACCAAGCAACGCTAGGTTAAGGTGTGATTGGATGTTAGTAGGTAGAGGTTCTTCGTCACTCGCATTGAATTCGTTTGATTCGTCGATTTGTTGTCTTGCCCATGTTGTTATTTCCTCATCACCTTGGAGAAGTTTCAATACCTGAAGTTTTGAATAAAACAAATGAAAGGGAGGAAGGGAAAACAACAACAACACTGATGACATTCACAAACAATGACAAGTAGAAGAGGCCAAAGAGGTTGCTTACCAGGCTGATTTGAGGGCGATGTCTCGGTGCTCGTCTAATACAAAGGGTAGCAGCCAAAATCATTCGACCTATTTGATCGTGGTTGTAGTCACTGCCTAGCCTTGGATCTAGCAATTGTGAAACTTTGCCTTCCATCAGAATTGGCTTTGCCTGTATTACACATCCATCAGTTCCATAAACAAATTTGAGCGAAGTTCAGACAATCAAATTCATGGCAACTTGAACACATAGTCCCAACATATGGATAGTAGAGGTCATACCAAGAAAATCGAAACTTACCCACATTACGAGACTCTCCTCCCCCTTGGGACAATTGTCGCTGATTGGTTTTCTACCTGAAAGTAGCTCAAGGAGTACCACACCGAATGCATAGACATCGATCTTGTCGCTCACTTTTCCGTGCATGAAATACTCAGGAGCCAAATAACTATCATAAAGGAATTTACAAGCATGCTCAAGAACACATCAAAAGCTTCAAGACAATGAATCAAAACATAAAATATGCAACAGTTACGTAGGCATACCCAAATGTTCCAGCTACATCAGTACAAGTGATTTGTAAGCACGACGATGCCCAACTAGCAAGGCCAAAATCCGAAAGCTGAACGGGTAAACATAACCTATAATCAGATAGAGGAACCCTTTGAAAGATAATATGTTTGAGAAAGTAACATATCACGAAACCTGCGGTTCGAAATTCTCCGAAAGTAGAATGTTAGAGGATTTCACATCCCTGTGTATCACAGCTTCTTCCCTGCAATTGTGTAGATAGTCAAGTGCCTCAGCAACACCAACAGCAACCTTAAACCTCTCTTGCCAACCAAATGAATTCACATCCTTCTTACAACCTTAAAGAAAACAACCAGTTGACAGTGAGAAAACACGGTTAACGGAAATCAAACAAGTGTTATTCAAACATAGACACAGTTCTTTACCATGAAGATTCTCTTCCATACTTCCTCTTGAAAGAAAATCATAGACCAAAACTAAATTATTGTCCTCCAAACAAAAACCCAATAAAGATATAATATTCTTATGAGTTGAAGTTGCAATGATCTCAACTTCCTGAACAAACTCCTTTAGAACAGTCTCAGATGGCTTCAAAATTTTGACAGCAATTTCCTTGCCATCGGGAAGACGCCCTCGGTAAACATAGCTACTCCCTCCTTTACCAACCATATTCTCTAAAAGACACAAACAGAAATACTTATTAGAGAAACATCCAGTCCAAGAAAACAAGGATAAACATATATCTTTAAAGATAGGTACATACCAGGCATAAAATTAGAAGTTGCCAACAAAAGTTCCTCATAAGTAAACAATCTGCAAGTGGACGAGTATTTATCCTTTAAATCCAATACCTCTTTAGGAAGGCTTTCCAAAACATGGCTGGACACATATGGCACAATTGCACCATTTTCCCCATCAATTGTGGAGCTCTGATCTGGATCAGAACTGCTTTGTTTCTGGCCTGGATAAACCAAGGCTGACGATGACTGGAAGTTCGGTATGTGTAATACACCTTGGAACATAGGAAACTTCTTTGATGATTTCTCTACATGCTGCTTGGTTAAAAATATCCGACGCAGAAGCGACCAACTTGATTTCCATTGCAACGATCCTCGCTTGACAATGGAATTTGACTTCGAAATTTCTTGAGGCTTTTGAAATGGTACCAAAGCCAATGAATTCCAAACACCATTGTCCTGTAACTGGTCCACCAAATCAGTTGCGGAATCATTTCGTTCAAGCAAAGACAGAGCACTCTGAACAGAGTCCCTCTCCGTTTTATCATTACAACCAGAGTCAGATTTGTGTAAGCGGTGACCGTTGATAAAGTTTGCAGCCAACCCAACAGATTTTGATTCATTAATTTCTTCTACAATGGTTGCACAATTCTTGTCCCCACCCTTGTCTGCTCAAATAGGCAAAAGAAAAAAGGGAAAATCATGAACTAAGCGCAAAACAAGAATTTACAGCCTAAAAGAAAAGGAAAAAGAAGATGATTGAAAAAAAAAAGTGAAATAATTCCAACCTCGAGACTGGCCTTTAATTGGGAAAGTCGCTAATCTCTGGAAAATAACTTTGCCATTATTGACGGCTAAAACGCAGAATCTGTTCGACAATTTTCTAGCACAGTACTTTGCAACCGATACCGACGAACGGATTCTATGGTGAGTTTTAGAAGTACCGAGAATTAGCGAAGCCTCGCCGTAAGAATCAACTTCCCGTCTAATAATTTTCCGGACCGGCGAGCCTCGGCAGACCTTGAGCTTCAATTCAACCTAAAACAAACAAAAATTCCGAACTAAAATTCTCATAACCAAAGAAAAAAAAAGAAAAAATCACTCTCGATTCACAATCATTTTAACCTGCTTCAGGTTGCAAAATCCGTCATAGGCGGACAATACAGAGTCAAACGACTTCACAAGAGAGAGCAAAGTCGAATTTCCCTCTGCAACTAAAACAAAACAAACAAGAAACCACCAAAAAGTCCACAGTCAGCAGAAGGCAAAAGAAAACCACCGAATCAAGCGCGATAAACGAGGTTAAAAAATAAAAAAAAAACAAATACCAACGGCAGAATCAAGAACATGAAGAGCAATGACACAATCTCCAGGCTGCGCAACTTTAACGAGCGCCCAAGTAAGCAGTTCCCGACTCTGAGAATCCATTTTAACCCCAACGACGACCACAGAGCCGCCATAGACGGCGGTAGGGTCACCGAGGAGCATCATCGGCGCCGCTTAGGGAGGGATATGGAGGTTTCAGAGGGAGGGAAATAGTTCAGGCGCGAGAGAAGCCATTAGAGGATAAAAAGAGCAGAAGCATATGTAGTGGAAAAGGAAAGAAGCGAATCATGGGGAAGGGAATTCGAGGTTAGGGGTAACTGTATTGGAAGGTTTTGTTCCTCTGCTTCGCAATCTATAATATTGTTCCCTCCTCTTTCATTTTCTGACCGTCTGATCCATCTACTTTAATTCTTCATCATATTATCAATTTTTTTTTTAAATATAGTTTGCTTAAAATACCATTTTATTATTATTATTATTATTATTATTATTTATCAACTTATTTATTTTTGTGTTTAATAAATATCATTTTTTTAATATTTAAATCATTTTAAACGTTTAATTTTTATATCTAATATGTCTTTAAAAATTTAATTTTGTATTTAATTTATTATTAGATTTTTAATTTTATATTTAATAGAGTCCAAACTTGTTCAATATTTTTTAAACCGACAATTTTATCTCAAAGAAAAAAAGTTTATGCTTTCTGATAAATTTATTTATTATTTATTTTATATATATATATTAAAAAAAAACTCTTAACCTTACTTTTATATTTATTAATAAATTTCCAAACATATTTAAGAAATAAGAATTAACGGACTAATTAAAAATAAAATTTATGTTAAATAAAATTCTAAATTCTAGAGGACAGGTTATGTATGTTTTTTATGTCTTATTGTCCAGATAGTTTAGCTCGTCTTATCAAATCCTAAAATAATAGTCAATATGTGCAGTCGAAATCCGCTTGAAACACAAATAAAAACGAATTGAAATGGCCCAATTGAGTCCAATTGGAGAAGGCTGACTCTTTCAACTAAATCGATCAACGATCAATAGATAACACAGTCAATGGCCAACGTAGCCGAATTGGTCAGAGTGGACCAAATTAGTTCAGTTGAATCGACTTAGATGGATCAAACTAAAATGTTAAGAAAGAATTTTAGTTAAAAATGGAGGCAAATAATAATGTTTACCATTTTTAATTTTAAAATATCTTTAAAATTTATGGGTTATTTGTTAATTATAGTAAATCGTAGTAATTATTATTTGTTACTAAGGATTTTACTTATTTCCTTGTATTAGTTGTCGTTTCTAGAGATAAATAAAAAGAAAATTGCCGTTAAATTTATTATATTTATATCAATATTTAATTATCTTATGTATAAAATATGATTAAAATTTGATGATTTCATATATTAAATTTATATTTATATCAATATTTAATTATCTTATGTATAAAATATGATTAAAATTTGATGATTTCATATATTAATGTTTTATAATTATGGGGTTCAAATTTTTTAAAAAAAACTATGATTGATGACACGTGGCTTACCGTAGTTTGCTGAATAAAATATTAGTATTTATTTATGATTTTATAAAAGATATATATTCTTATAATTCACCATTTATTGCGTACCCAAATTCTTTTAGAATTATGTTTTAATAAATAATAAACTAACGGTGTCACGTTCAAAGCACATGTTAAAGATCTATCATGTATTAAACAAAATGTAATTTTGACCAAAGGAATTTAAAAATTAAAATGAAATTATTCGGAATAATTCGGACCATTTAATTCAAATCTAAAATTTGGATTGAGTTGAATTTTGAAAAATAAAAAATTTAGATTAATTCATGGATTGACATTTTTTTAAGTCAACTACCAACTCGAAATTACCGAGGTTAGGCCTCACCTCTGTCCTCGCCGGATTTCCTCTCTCTCCTAATTTTTTCTTTCTCTTTCCCTCACCTCTGTGCTCGCCGGATTTCCTCCCTCCCTTCTCGTGCTCAATTTTTGTCGTACGGGTCGTAGCTTCAATTGTTTTCTTCGTCAATTAGTAGATCGTCCCCATGGGAACTTATAGCAATTGAAATGGGGTTAAACCATGAAGGGTAGGGAACAAATTTGACCGTAGAAGCTCTCCAAAACCCCATGAACGTACGTTTGGTTTGTTTCCGTCCAAAACCGATCATCAAACGCCTATGGATCTAGAGCTCGAGTTCTTCCAACGAGCGTGGATTTTGGTCTTAAACCTCTAGTGCTTTCTCCCTTGCGACAATTCAAGTCCCTTCTTCCTTTCTCGGTGAGCAAGCTGCCTTAAATCAACTCTCACCTCCTCTGAGTCTCGATGAGGAATGGGACGAAGGTCTTTCGCCGCCTACCCTCTACACGAGCCACTTCCGAGCAACGTACGACGCTACAAACACATCTGTCATTCTTTTTTTAATTACTTATTACTCATTTGGATGGCATTACAACAATATTAACCAAGAAGTTAAATTATATTTAAGTATTTAGTTGGGAAGTTATTAACTTATATTATGAAAATAAAATATATAATCATAGTACAAATTAAATACAAAATATATTATTTGTTTGTTTAGGATCAACATTCTTCTGTTCAAAATAAAATAAAATAAAATAAATGAAAATGTAATAATATTAAATTGCACCGAAATGATGGATGAGAGGTCGCACTCCCCATTTTCGGACCTCTAAATATTATATTATTTGTTTAATAAGAATGGAACGTGTACGTGTCAGAATTTGTCCCAATATTTTATTTATTTTTCTACCATTAACATATTTTTCATCCACCGCCCATAGATATTATCTTTTTTGGACTTTCATTTTCGAGTTTATCTTCAATGTTTTAAAAATTCGTCTTTTAGGGAAAGGTTACCACACCCTTGTAAGGAGTATTTAGTTCTCCTCCCCATCCAATATGGGATTCTTACAATCCACTCCCCTTTGAGCCCATTGTACTTGCTGACACTCGTTCTTTTCTCCAATCGATATGGGACTCATACCAAATCCACCTCTTTCGGGGAACATTCTCATCGCTGACTCATCGTCCGGTGTCTGACTCTGATACCATCTGTAACGGCCCAAGCTCACTGCTAGCAGATATTATCCTCTTTAGGCTTAGTGTGAGAATTTCAGGAGAGGAGAACGAAACATTCTTTATAAGAGTGTGGAAACCTTTCCCTGTCAAACGCGTTTTAAAAACCTTGAGGATAAGTCCGAAAGAGAAAGTCCAAAGAGGATAATATCTACTAACAGTGGGCTTAGGCCGTTACAATGTAATAATCTTATCGTAAATTGAAATTAAAAATTATTATATCATGAAAGGCATAATATGGCAATTTGCTTTTTTAAAAAAGGTAAAGATTTTGGAGGATATTAGTGGATTTTTTATTTATTTATTTTAGTAATATATTGACCGACCGACCTTTTTTCTAATTACTAATTTTTAATTTTTAAAAAAATTTAATTTTCTGTTCCCAAAATTTCAGCCGTCTAAGTGGGAAAAGACAGTTGAAATTGACTGAGAATCTTTTTTGGAATCACATATTAAAAATGTTTTTAAATTTTTTTAAAAACTAAATAATTTCCTTATTTAAAATATTCATCACTTTACAATATTTTTATCATTTAATATTTCTTCTTCTTATTATTATTCTTTTCCACTAATACATCCATAAAACTGGTAGAAAGTGACGTCTAAAATTTATTTTCGAGTGAATTAGGTTGACCCGACTAAAAAAATGTCAGCCTACAAACAAATAAAAAAATAATGTGACACAACTCAACCTTTATGTGATCGATCAAATCCTCGAGCCATACGAGTGTTCCTACAGCTATTCACCTTAATACATAGTATAAAAAAAATTCAAGTTGTTTCGTTCAAATATCATAGTCTATTGGAGTACTAATTATTTCTATATAGTCCGTCATTGTCTGAGCCTCTAAATGATTACTCTTCCTCTTATCGATCTCAAAACATGACATAACCCTACGACCAATCTTATTGGTTCGGTATTGTCCTTTAAGAATAAAGTGGACAAATTCCGACATGAGGTCGATAACATAAAAACCAGAAAGAGTTTGAGGATTTTTTATGTTTGTATTTACGTGTAATAAATGGAAGAACATGTGAGTATGTCTGCCATTATGGATTGATGGTGGACCCAAAATTTCCCTTTCTTTCTCCTCAATTTTAGTGTTGTGTGTACAAAAATTCCAATCCAAAAGACCAAACCAAACACAAGATTTTCAAACCACTTGCTATTAAAAGTGTTCGCCTAAATTATATTCGGGTTCGATTTTAGTGGTGTTTCGTATAATTCAATCAATTAAAGATATTTATATAATCTTACATTCAGCCCGATTAGACCACTAATAAGTAATGCTTGGTGTATAGTAATATCTTATAAGCAGCTTATAGATATCGAGAATGGCAGTGCCGAAGGAAAATTTTGTCACTACGAAATACGTAAGTATAAAATCAAAATGTTGATATGAACACGAAAAAGAGTGCTTTAGGCTTCCCAAATGTGAGAAATATAATAGTCTCATCGAGTGTAATGGTGGTGTTTGACAAAGCAAAGGGGAGATATCACACAAGTTTTCTGGGGAGATATCACACAAGGTTAGAAAATTACTGATAAGACAACAAGACAAAGTTATATGAGAAATGCTTGATGGATTAGACCCAAGGACGACCGAGTTGTTGCCACCTCTGAATGTTCGAGAATGAAAATAGGAAAATATATCCATGGACCTTAAAAAAAACTCTGAAAATAATGTATGGTGATATGACGATAGGGTGATCTTTGACAAACTTAACAAGTCCACACATTTCTTGCCCGGAAAAGATGCCTACCCTGTAAACAATTAGACACGAGTGTAAAAGCTTCTAAACTTTACTTTAGTACGGGATGTGGCCACGACGAGGAAAGGTTGTGGTTGGGCTTGTGTTAGTATGATAACTCTCTAAAAACAGTAAGCATGAAATAGTAAGTGCTATTTTTTGAGCAAGCAAGCCAAACATGTTGAATTAGATTATCGTTTCCTTCGAGAATTTGTTGTCACTGGCAAACTTTGCACAGAGTACGTACCCTCCCATCTTCAAGCTGCTGACATCTTCACCAATAGTGTTTCTTGACCCCTCTTCGAATTTTTTCAGATTCATGCTTCACGTTCGTTCAAATCCGACGCACAGCTTACAGGGGTGTTGAGGATACCCAACCTTCCATTACGAATTACGGTATGTATCATATTTGACCCTTGATTATAGACT